CTCGGGTATGCATAGATTGCAAATATTCATTATCCCGAGTAAACTCGGGTATGTACAGATTGCAAACATTTACTATCTCGAGTAAACTCGGGTATGTAGAGATTGCAAACATTTACTATCTCGAGTAAACTCGGGTATATATATATATATATATATATATATATATATATATACAGCATTAGATTTGCAGTTATTTAGATCTCTACATCAGTTTCAATGAGATAGAAAATATTTCCAGTTATTTTTCCAAATGAGATGTATCATATACAGATGTTTTTCTCAAACAAAATATTAATACAACTTTTAAAACCGGCACTTAGTGCATTATACCACAGAGTAAAACTAATAATTTAAAAAGAAAGTTATTTGTAGCAATTATTGTAAAAAAAATATAGATATTGCTTTTAAATTTCCCTAATATCAAAATTCAACCAGTGTTACACGAAGGAAAATATTTATCATAGTTATGGCAATTACACTGTAAAATATTCTAGATTAAATTACGGTATAAAGAGCCGGCACTTTGGATGCACTATCCATAATATCCATTTTACAGTAAAATCCATTTTTACCTTATAAAAGTATACCTTAAATTTAAGCTCTACAGTAAAATTTATTTATTAGAATTACTTGGTGACCTTGCGATAATATTATTACTGTAAAAATAGTACGTCTCCGTAGAAATGGATAAGGGAGAAACGCAATTTGAACACAATTTTTTACAGTGTGCCCAATATTCAAATCAATTTTTAGTAAAATAAAGACATTTAGGTATAATGATCTTGCACATTTCATGTTTATGGGAGGTAAAATGTTTCAAGTTTCATCTTCGTGCTGAAATTCAGGTGCTTAATATTTTTACTTCTGATAATTCAGACTTCTTTGTGAAGTAAATAAATACAGAATATACAGAAGCGATATTTTAGTTTTTGTCAGTAAGATGCCATTTAACTTCCTCACTTAACAAATCTCTCAGTGTATAAATAAATATAAAAGTATATCGCTTTTTACCACCTTCTGAAACTTGTGACTCCCTTCTAAGGTATAAAGCAAAGCTCCTAATTTAAAATTCCGAACATTTCCTCATAACTTTTCGGAATTGTTATCTGTCAGTCTGTCTTTATATTTCAGAAAATTCGACAGAATCTGGTGTTGGAAATAAAAATGAGTAACAATTCATGCCGAAAGAGGGAGTCAATTTTTTATATTCCAGGAAAATGTCACCGCGAGCAATATAAGGCTTCTAAAAGTATTGAGGAAATAAGAGGTTTCGTTACAAAAAATGAATCAATGATAGGTTGAATAAATAAAGTTTTAGAAAAAAAATGATATATTATAGAAACACAGGTTAATTAAATTAATATTTAATTTATTTTGACATCTTTATATGATTAAAATACTTTAACTTGTATTAAAGTAGTCCTAAATCTAACTAAAAAAATCTAAAAAAAATATTAAATTGCTTTAGGAGATGATAAAATTTTAAAACCATAATCTATATCCTAGTTCAATACATCAAATAATTTTTTCTGAGAATAACCTGGTCAAAATATGATTTTGATTGAATTTAATGCTAAATCTTTTAAGTTAATTTAATCATGTTTCATAATTAAATATTAAACTGTATTTTTCTGAAAGACAAATCATTTTAATTTTTCATTAAAATTCAAAGATCTGTAAACTTTAATTAGGGTTTTGAAGGATTTAATGCATATAATTATGTCAAAAGTCTTAATTAAAAGACCAATTTTTGAAATATTTCGTTTATTTTTTTATTTTCACTTGTGTATGAATTGTAGAATGAAATACATACTTAAAATAATTTCAAATGATAAAGGTTTGGAGTGGTAGAAATGTATGAAAAAATTAACTTTCTGTTCTTAAAATAATTGTTTTTTATGTCACTGCTGTAAAATATTTTTGTAATTGTTTCTTTTCTACCGCTGGAAAAAAATGATTTATTATCTGAATAATGATTTTTATGCAAAATAAAAACAATAGTAATTCTTAAATAATAGCATTTTTTAACTTTAATTATTATAATTTATTCAATTATTTATATAATAAAAACTGTTAAATAATTAAATTCAGTTAAATATATCTATGAAATGTAAGGAACAAAAAATAAAATACCTTCAGAGAGTCAATTTTTTTGGCATAAATTAGCATTGTTCTTTATACCCTATTTATGTATTATTTCTATATTGATTATCAGTTTAAGCAAACTCTCTAATTGTTAGGCTAACTAAGACTCTTTCTCAAAGTCACTATCGTAATTTGAAATTATGATTTTTTGCGAATAATATGCTATTTTTATAACTGTTACGTAGATTTTAGCCTATCTAAAGATTTCGCTATTTACGCTTGTTAAAATGGCGTAAAACGTCACTACGGAGAAAAGCCACACTTTCGTGAAAATGAAAAGCATTTGCTGTCTAATTTTTTAATATTTAAAAACTTACTCCAATGCTGCATTACCTGCGCTCATAAAAATTTACAAAAATTGAGGTCCCGCAGTGGACTGATCTTTAAGACACGGTTCCCAGCAGATCACCGAAGTCAAGCATCTCTGGCTGCGGTCAGTGTGTGGGTGGGTGACCACTTGGATCAGTCTGCGTAGGGACCGAGGGTGTGCGGTATTGATCCTCGTTAAACTGTGCTACCGTTAAGTGCTCCACTTCGCGTGCAGGTCGTTGGGCTGCCGAAGCGGAGGTGCCATCCCCTCTGCAGAGGATCAAAATTGTGATGGCATGTCTTCGGATTATCCTCAGGGATGTTTCCCAGGCCGTCGCCAATAGCACATTGTGCAGCTCTAGTGCGACGGAAATGAACTACAACAAGAAAAATGGAGAATAAAGTAGTGATTTTTATAATTTTCATCTGAGGGAAAAAATGTCACCAAATAGGCGTTTTTATAAAAATTTATAAATATATATATATATATATCTCTTTAATCNTATATATATATATAGTTTAAAGTCATACAATTGCTTCAAGTGTAAGGCCTTTAAACTTTTCCTTTTTTTTTATTTTCCTTGGCGACTGAGCTTCGAAAAACAGCTTTAACAAATGAAACAAGTTTCACCAGTTCTAACATAGTAATGCGTTTGAAAAAGTAGTAGGATAAAAAGTAAGTAAGTAAGATAAAAAGTCAATTTACACGGTTATTAAAAAATATCTGTCAAAACTATAACAGTAAGCATACCATTACTGGTCAAAAGCCCGGTTATTGTGAGCTGTATTGTAATGCATTAATCAAGCTACACATCGCCACCATATAGGACAATGTAGAGGTATACTAGTAGAATTACGAACTGTGTCCTTCACACTGCACAATTTTAGTTCTGTAAAATATTCCGGATAAAATTACGGTAAAAATTACCAGCACCCTGAGTGCCATTTCTTTTACTGTGAAATCTATTTTCACCAAAACATATATTACGGAACAAAAAATCTGTTATACCGTAATTTTTAGAGTATTAATTACCGTAAATTCACTGAATCACTCAAATTAAATAAATATTACCAGCATACTACTCTACGGTAAAAGGGTATTTTTACCGATGATGTACCACATCTGTCAGTATCTTATTCCGTTCTTTGATACAGATTTTTTTACAGAGTATTTTATGAAGCGGATTTTATACAGATAAAAAAATATTAATAAACGAGACGTAAATAATATAAACCTTGTAGAAATAAAAATCGTTAAATAATATTTATAAAATAAAATAAAACAATGTCGACGCAAATGTTGTGTTCCACATAATGTGTTATATCGTAGATATGTAATAACAATTAATAAATAATTTAAAAAAATAAGTTATTATTAAATCTAAATATTGTTTTTTTTTATTTCAGTACTATTACAAGATTTCGATATCCACTTATTCGATGAATTTATTCTCAAGGGTAATACAGCTATTCTTCGATGCCCTATACCAAGTTATGTTAATGACTACGTAAGAGTTAGATCATGGGAAAGAATGGACGGCTTCATAATAACACCTGCTTTAATAAATGGTAAGCTGCATTAAAAATTGAGTATAAAAATTAGTTATAATTGATAATTTTAATTATAACTAATAACACTGGTGAACATTTTTGTTTTGTTTTCATGAGCATGGGATTTTTTATTAGGACATCTTAGATACTTTCGTATCGCTGATTTCAAATCTGCAATCGGCTTCTTTCTTCAAGTTACAATTTTTTTTTAAACGACAATTTTTGTCCATTTTTTTGTCGAAATATGTAGTTTAAAGACGTTCTATATAATAGTGAATCACGTAAATGTTGCGTAAAGCTTCAAGGAAAGTTAGAGTATATCACCAGGACTAAAACAGCATAGGAACCCATGTCTGAAAATGTCGCCATACGCCACAGGGGACGCTCCCCATTATTAATTGAACTGTAAGTTTCTGAACTGTTCATTTAAGGGAGGACGTTCCTTTCCTGAAGGTGCACTCAAACTTTCTTACCAGTTCTTCGCGTTATAAACAGGACTTCCTGTTGTGTTTACCGTTTTTAAACCTGTTCTTTTCGATGAAAAATTGACTAAAAATTTCATTTAAAAAAATCTGTAGCTTTATGAGCGAAACTAATTTAAAATCCTTACAACCAAATTATGCAAGCTCAAGTACTTGTCTTAATGCAACTAAAAATATGTTCCCCAGAGAAATCAATATTCACTATTTGTTATAAATTAATTATTAATACTATTTTTTAATAATTAATTATAATCCAATCCCTTAAAATTAAATCAAACTAAAATAACTAATTAATTTTACGTTAAATCAATAATTAATGTTATGTTTACTTTATCTCATTGTCAGTGATAGGCAATTTATATTTAATTTAAATATTACTTATATTACATTTTATTTTTGTCATGTTTAAATTTTGTAAAATACATTAAATTTATTAGCTTAATTCCATTTCTACTCAAACAATCCTTTACAAAGTTGACTATCTTCTATTGATTGTTACACGAGATACGGACTATGATATTCGGTTTATAAAATATGATTTCTTTCTTTGTAATAGCGAAATATGGAATGCTTGAAAGTGGTGATTTATACGTTAAAGACACAACAGATCATGATGGATCATACAGTTTCCGTTGTCACACAGAAAACAGAATAACTAAAGAGAAGAAAGTGAGCAAAAACTACTCCAAATTAGTAATAACAGGTAAATGAAGAATCAAAAATATTCTAAAAGTTGCTATTTGAAAGCTCTCACATAATAAAATGCATGTCTTTCTTATTCAAACATTCAATGTATTTCCTCTCTAGAACCACATCATAGCCAGCCTCCAAGGATCACTCTAAAATATAATAGGGTATCTGTAGCAGTCGGTCAACGTGCAACACTACCTTGTATTGCCCAGGGGTTCCCGGCACCGTCTTATCGTTGGTACAGATCCGAGACAGGGCTGAAACCGCTACCAGATCATACTCTTCCTGTCAGTCAAGAAGGTGGAATTCTAGTGTTTCATAAAGTGACTTCTACTGATTCTGGACGATATGTCTGCCACGTGACTAATGTAATAGGAGAAGATAAAGCTGATACTGAACTAATCGTAGCAGGTTCGATTTTAGTGACATATTATTTATTTCACTTGAAATAATCAACTATATATAATCAACATTATTTATAGATGAAAAAAATATCTTTTTTTTGTCACTATGTGCTTCTTATTCATGTATGCAGAGTATAACAGGCAGAGAAGGATAAAAGTGAAAAAAGTAGACTTGCTGGAGGAAGTTCTTATTTTGGTTTGATTCAACTGTATGAGCATTAATTTATTTTGCTTAGTTTCTAAAGCTTAGTTTGCCTAGTTTTTTTTTAAAATTTGCATACGTTTGCTAAGTTTCTATATTTTATTCTTTGAAAAAAAGTTTTTAGTTTTAATTTTTTTCATTTCAAAACTATTTTTGTCGTTTTCTATCAGAACACTACGTGATTGTTTTGGATTAAAACTAAAGAATAGAACAAAACACCTGAGAACTATTGATGAACTATCTGCGTGAAAGAGTTAAAACGATTCTCTGCTATTTTTTTCCAAAACTGAGGCAAAATTATTCTGAATTCACCATAAGGTTGTGGATACATTTGAATTCTACCCTACAGAACATGACCAAAGTTTTTTTTTGATGATCTAGTATTCTTCAAATCTATATTTTCCTTTTTCCAGAATCTTGGCATAGGTTTTCTGGACGGCACGGTTGTGTGTATTTAGTCATCACGACCCTTATCTCCCCGTGCAGAAGATAATTCCATCACTAACTAAACGGCTCTTTCAACTACGCGTGTATATATGATGGATTTTGCAACTTACTTCCAATCATATCGACCGTTTTAGTTTTTTTCTAAAGTTCAGTGCATGATATATGGTAGTGGATGCTCGGTAAAAAAAGGTAGTGGATATTCGGAAAAAAAAAATACAATTCTACCAATTGAGTCTGCATGGTCGTTTGTCCTAATGTTAAGGGGCATAATAATGTGGACACGAACAGTTTCACTACTTCAACCTTCGGGATCTCATTCTGGAATACTTATTGCTAATCATAGTAATCAGTCGAAAAACAATATAAATTACTAATTTCAGATCAGCAGGAAGATTTCTTGCATTGTGACAGCTTACGGAAGATGCTGCACAACGGCTTTACCGAACAGTTAATTTCTCGTTGCAGGCTAGACTTTTGCATACACTTTTACAATGTATTCCACAATAGTCCGCATTTCAAGTAATTGCTCTTCTGTAATAATATGTATAAGCAGAGCTTTGAAATTTTTTTGCTACCCACTGTCGCTAGAGAGCTATCCTAAAACATTTGCAATATTTTTGAATATTTTCCAGAACATATGACTTGATAAGAATTTAAAATATGTCTCTGATCAGTACTTAGTTCCCCTACAGCGAATAATGGTAGATCAACAGTGATTTTTCTAAACTTTAAATTTGGTAGTTGCTTATACACGCTCAGAAGTTTCCCCTTAAGACAGCAATATGTAAGAGTAATATGTAAGATAAGTATTTACATGTTGACACCGTAACAAATAGCCTAAAGATAGCTCATTTGCACGAAATTGAAATACCATCCAATGTAATGGTATTTAATATGCAACATAAATATCCTAATTTATCCCTAGTTCATATCAGTTTTGACTGCCGTTTCAGTTGATCCAATTGCTAGTATATATTTAGTGGAAGACAGGCATGTTTTCAAATAATGAAAAATTCTAGACTCTAAAACATTGAACTATACTGCCACAATAAAGATGAGTTAAAAGGCTTATTTCTTTACGTACAGAATCTTCAAGAAGTTAACCGCTTCTCAGATGTTTTATACATTTGATGCATATAACTTTTTGATGACTATTGAGTGATTCGTTCTTTCGTATTTTTGTTTTATGTTTAAGAAATTTAGTAATGTTACTATAAAAAATAAAAGCGATTTTAAAATCACTTTAATATTTAAAAATTGAAATAAACTTAGATGAAAAGCAAATAAAAACTCAAATTGGACAATCAAAACTTTATTTTTTATGTATGCATTCATTTTCCATAGAACAGCCATTTAAAACACGTTATAGCATATTTGATTGTAATACGAAGGTTGTTGTTGTTATTGTTGTTTATTTACGTCGCACTAAAGCTGCACAATGGGCTATTGGCGACGGTCTGGGAAACATCCCGGAGGATGATCCGAAGACATGCCATCACAATTTTGATCCTCTGCGGAGGGGATGGCACCCCCGCTTCGGTAGCCCGACGACCTGCACGCGAAGTCGAACACTTTACGGTAGCACAGTTTAACGAGGACCTATACCGCACACCCTCGGTCCCTACGCAGACTGATCCAAGTGGTCACCCACCCGCACACTGACCGTAGCCAGTGATGCTTGACTTCGGTGATCTGCTGGGAACCGTGTCTTAACGATCAGTCCACTGCGGGACTGTAATACGAAGGGTTCCTCGAATTGTTGCAATCTTTCTGCGTTGTATCATTCGAAAGTCGAATCTTTCCTCGTTCTGATATCGTTTGACTCCCCAGTTTTTAGTTTAGTAACCATTAAAATCAGCCTTTCCTCTTGCTATGGCCTAGTGCAGAATGATTTGATGGCAGGCTAAATTAGTCCTTGAAACTAGGTCAAATTGCATAAACATATGTTACCGCACCACAGAAACATCTTCTCTTTGTTAAAATGAAAAATAATTTCGTCATAGCTTCCTTTTCGTCGTATTGCATATTACGTACATACCAAGTTTCCTCGACATTTGATACCAGAACTTTCATTACATTGGTCGAAACAGGTTAACTATAAATTGCCACCCTATGACAAGATGCGACCAACATGCATGAATCTAGCATGTTTGCATTCCTGCATCTACGATTAGTTTATTATTTATACCTTTTTTAAAATTTGAATATTAATTCGAGATATTAACTACGTAAACACCAAATTAAGAAGGAATTATCCGAATAACTCTAAATTTGATAAATTCTAAACGAAAAAGTTTCTAAAAGCAAATGAAAAGAATTGAGTTAAAAATTGTGTTTTTAATGTAGTTCCACTTTTGGAACAATGGCACTTAACGAAAGCCGTTTTTTATTGTAGTTACTATCACTACAGCTGTGTTTCTGTATCCATATGTCTTTTTTAAAAAAATAATCGTTTATTTTTAAAAGAATTCAAAGAAATTGCAGGATGTATCTTAGGAAATAATGATAATTTCACCGTGTTATAATAAAACTTAAAATGATCATATATTGACGAGATAGTCTACATATTCAACCGGAATATGTCATAAAATATTCCAAAAGGAGAAGAAAATAAGATTTCAGGATATTTTCTAAAATTTTTTTTTTCATATTTTTCGATTCTGTTGCCTCATCGAATTTCCGTTTCTTATTTAACTTTATAATTGGACTTTCACTTTTTAATTTTTTTTATTTCCACTCGATCTTGGGATTTGATTTTTCTTTCCCATAAAGTAAACGCAGACATAAAAAGTATAACAAAGTCCTAATTGTTTTTATCTGTGTTTTCTAAGTAGAATATTCAGACTCGTCAAATTTTTAACTGCAGAACATATGTATCTAAATATCTACATTCAAATTAAAGAGCACATTGATAAGCCACTTTAAGTTTAAATGCCAAATTGATCACTGTCAAATAACGCAATAAAAATAAAATAGTCAATAATCATCTGAAAACAAGCATCTTATCAAAGAGAATTTCTCTAATAATAGATAAAATATCACGAAGTAAAATGGACTGATCGTAAAGACACGGTTCCCTGCAAAACACCGAAGTCAATCATCACTGATTAGAGCCAGTATCGGGTGGGTGACCACTTTGATCAGCCTGCGTAGGGACTGAGGGTGCGTGGTATCGGTCTTCGTTAAATAGCTCTACAGCAAAGTGCTCGACTTCGCTTGCTCGTCGTCCGGCTACCAAAGCAGTGGAGTCACCCCCTCTGCATTGGATCAAAATTGCGATGACATGTCTTCGGATCATCCTCAGAGATGTTTCCCAGACCATCTCCAATAGCTCATTGTGCAGCTCAAGTGCGACCTAAATAAAGTACCTACCTACATCAAGAGAAAAAAGAGAGAGAGAGAGAGTGAGAGAGAGAGAATGCTCAGTGTGAGTGAATCTTTATTTTAAAATCATTGCTTCTCTTAAATAAATTTCATATTAACAATTAAATTAAATTCTTGAAGCATAACTCAATGAATTTCGTGGAATTAAAAAATGGAACTCTTAAAGCGCTCATATTTCAGAAATGAGCATGTTGATTGGAACAAATACTTTTTCTTTAAACCAAAGTTGACCAAAGTTGATTTTAAACCAAAACTTAGAATCAGAAGTCGAACTGGAGGCCATAATAACCTTTCGATATCACGTAAATAGCATATTCGTCATATGAGAATTGGAATTTGATAAATTAGAATGCAAAGAGGGGAAAAATTTAAAAAGTGTGAAAAAATACTTCATAATGTAAATTTTTAAATTTCGGTGAAATGTGGTTATTCGGTTATTCACTAAATTTAATATCAAAGCTCATGCTCTATTTTGGGAATATTAGCACGTTTAAAGCTATTCCGCGTATAATTATTCAAAATGTAACCCGTTAAAATGACAAGATTTGTGTCATAAATGAGAAGTAATAAAATTTATTTTTTATAAATGAGATTCATAAAACATGTATTTAAATTTAAGCAGTATTTTATTCAAAATATCAAAGATATATGAAGAGAAAAAAAGGATATCTCACTATAAAGTAGTCTTCATATTCAGGTTTAATACCAACCATAATAAATTCATCAACGATAATGACTCCCTTATCTTTGAAACTTTGAGCATTCTCTATTAATATCTCATATTTTTATCTTCATGAAAATCCTTACGTCAATGAAAAGTACTTTGTTTCAAAACAGATTTTTAATCAAGAAGCCACATCCACGGAAGGCACGTAAGATAAATTCATAGCCGCTATTTTACTGCCAGTACTTTCAGGATGCTATTATGCAAATACTGCCAAGCAACATTTAACATCTATTTTTACTGCATCCTT